GGTGTATGATAAACAGTTTAACCATCATCTACATACAGGCTGTTTTGTTCTCCATCTAAAGAGACAATCACCTTTTTTCCTTTTCCTTTTTTCTTCATTTCAGTGCTATTAGGAAACTATTCACAAGTGCAACCCCGAACAATACTATGCAGTAATTATGACTAGATGACAAAGAGATGTGAACAATTACTGAGCCCATTTTGAAACCCTACACTAATAAAGTCATTAGATGCTGCCCTTGCCATGAGCCTTCTAAAAGCTTCTGAAGTTACAAGAACACACGGCATTGTTTGTTAGGACAATTGCTGCTGGCAGAATGCAAACCTTGAGTTAAACCATGCTGCAAATTGATCTTGACATTCTGTTAAGACCGCCACTAAAATCAAAAGCAAAGGAGAAAAGGAGAAAATGAGCGGGTGGGATGTAATCATGGAACAGAAGGGTTCCCTCCTCACCTTCTTTCCTCTTCCTCCTCAAAACAAACCATACAGAAAATGACAAACTCGCCTGGTGTTTGAGAACCTTTATTTTTAAAACATTAATTAGACTTTTGACCTGTTTTTATTGACTGGCACTGTATTGCTATTAGAGTAAATTAAATAAAATATTGCAAAATACAATAGATAAGGTTTTCACACTCGTCTGTGAAACCTGTTAAGGATTTAGTGCCCAAGAACACAGCCAAGTTTTGCAAGCAACATATACAGAATCTACGGTCACTCCTGAAGAGGCAGCAAGAAATTAACTCACCGAGTCCTGCACTCACAGACCCCACACCTGCAATATATTTGCTAAAGGATCAAATAGGATTGGGGAGCTGGAGTAATATGGTCAACTGGTCTTCATCCATGCATGCATCATTCAGTAGGTTAGTATTAAGGGTCAGCAACTGTGAATATGGCTAATTACTTGATGACGGAAATTGCAGGTGAAGACAACCTGCTGCTGAGAAGTGCTTTAGTCAATTAACTCTTTCCTACGCTTAAGCAAAGTGAAAAACTATCGTTTGAACATTAAAACTAACAAGTACCTGTCATCAGAGCTGAGAAAAGTTGGTAACACCTTGAAATACAGTGCCCAAGGGCAACGATATCCAAAGCTAAAAAGCTGCTACAGACATTCAAGTCACTGTTTTATGGTTTTGGCATTGCTCTGCTTGACAAACATTATGTATGTTGGAAATCTGCTAATGTTATGCATAATCTATGTTTGTAAGTGCTGTGTGTACAAACATAAGGGTATGTATAGGCATATATGTATGTGTATATATATATTCACTATGTATCTGTCCTGGATAGAAATATATTATACTAATGAATTTACAAAAATAGTTAGGCATGTGTACATACATACACACCTCCCAAACACATACACATTATATTAGAATAATGGTATTTAGTGAACAATTTGAAGACAGAAAGTGCCAGAAACATAGCTGCTCATGTCTGGCTCTCCTGCTTATCTATCCCATAACCTCTCCAGAAACCTGAGGAATCACTTAGCCCATGTGATGGCCCGATGCAGCTCGTGAGCTGCTGCAGCCATGTGCTCGGACCAAAAGGTAGGTCCAGAATTGTTACCACCACTGCTGTCAAACACTACTACTGCCCTGCTACCTCCTGCACGTGTTTCTGATGTTTGGAGAGCATGGTGGCAAATCTCCACAGCAAGCAAATGGTGATTTTTAAGCTCATGATTCACCCCAAATTGAGTGGAACATAACAAGAAGTAAAAAACATAACGTAGCTTTGTGTGTTTTTTTCCTCCTTTGACCATGGACAACACAAATTATAAGAATATTCCAAACAGTTGCTCACTAAACTAAAGTCTAAATTATAGGTGATAAAGCTTTCATATAGATTTCTTAACAGTATTATAAAAACACATTATTTTCCTAAATGAAGGCTAATTATTTTATTATTTTGTGCCTTTTATTATGATTTTTTAAATTCTAGTAATGAAAAGATTCATAATTTGCAGCGCTTACACATAGTAATTGCTCCCTTGTCTGCAAACCTTATGTCAGGGACAATTAAAAGCTGTGAAAGCCAAAACAGAACATCCTCTTAACTGTATTAACTAGAGTTCTCCTTCAGTTTGACAAAGTAACAGTCCTGGGTGGCTGAAGTTAGAAATTTTTTAAATCTAACTCCCAAAGTCCTAATGCTTATGCTGTTGCACTACCGCTAACAACTACCCTGGAGTTTGCACACAGAGTTTTACTTGTAGTCCTACTTTCAAAATCCCTCACTTTGCTCTGCTGCAGTGGACGTTGAAGAACAAGACAGAGAACCCAGCTGAAAAGCACTAGTGTACAGTGATGTAGGATTCAAAGCACATCCCTACATCAGTGTCAGCCAAGCAACATATTAAAAATCAGGAAAAAAGACATGATTTTGAAGCTTTTTTTTTTTTTTCCTACAGTGGACTCTCATTTTATTAATGAGAAGGAGAGAAACTACTATGCAGACAGTTTTTGGAACAGACTTACATCCACAGATGTCTGAAAGAGAACAGCAAAGAGCAAGAAAATCAGAGTATTCAACTTTTTTTGACTTATATAAGCAAGTATGTATATCTGTTTGAAATCATTCATGCCGACTCACAGTACTGAAAACCTGTCTTTTACCACTCACATTGAAGTGTTCCTACTGATTGCTGTAAATAAAGCAGGCCTGATTCCTCTGCCTTCCCACACTGGCTTTTCCACTAACGCAATTGTAACAGTAAAAAAAGTTGTTCTTGGGCTGTACCAGCATGCAAAAAGCAGTTCCTTCTCTTGTTCTTGCTGCTGTCTTCCCATCATTCAAATAAGAAGCTACGTGCAATTGTGTTTGTGAGGATACAAAATAACAGAATAGGCTCCAAGACACTGCCGTCATGTCACATAACGAAGGGCAGTAATTAAACAGAGGTACTGAGTATCTATTTATGGGAATGCCTAGAGTGCATTGGCACTTTCCAAAGCAAAAAGGAAGCATCATGCCCCCTCTGAAGAAATCACATTCTAAGGAGCAGGATGTGACACTAAACATAACCGAGAAATTATTCTAATTCAAAGCAGTGTGCCTTGTTTACCCCTTATTATTTTTTGACCTCACTGTTAATATGACAGTTTCTTTGCTGGTGTTAATCAAAAGCAAAAAATGTAGGCTTAAAACCCCTATCGCCCTGCACAATCGGTGACTAGGTTCATAGAGAATAGCTATAAAGCCTTAAACAAGCCCTTTATTTTGTGTTTTAAGAAGTGTCATAAGGAGTTAATAGGACACAGCTGTACGGGCTCTTTCTAATAAGCAGCTTCTGTCGCTTTGGTCACCACAGGTGTCTGTAACCTGCAAACTCTTATTACTAGTGTATCAAAGTTGTGCTACTTAATAGATTTCTTTAGTAAAACACAACAAAGCAATTACATGGCTGTTGATAGTCAGTCATAAAAAAAAAACCCTCTCAAACACAGTTTTTCAAAAGAAACTACACTGCAATTTTTTGTCATTGTAAAATAAAAGAAACTAGAGAATTAAATAGAAAAGCGAACAATAGAACAGCAGGTAGTCAACTGAACTTAGCCACTACAGATGGTTTAGAAATAGTGTTTCCTTCTACACCAACTTGTGGGATAAAAGAAAAGGAGGAGGCTCCTTACTGCCCATGAATGGCAATACCAAAAGACTTAAGCAACTTTCCAGTCTATGTATTTGGTCCATGAAAGAATCTAGATGTTTCTTTTTCCTCTCTTTTTTCCTTTTTTTAAAAAAAACTTTTTATCTGTTTTTGTGACTACTTTTTTTCCATAATCTTTAACTCTTTAGAATAACTTAATCTAGGAACATAGCTGCTGATTCGTCCAATGACGAAATGCAGAAGGTAGAGTGAGTGAGGAATTCCTGTGAAACGTGTCATTTTAAAAGCGTATTAGAAAAAGTGATTGTTCTGTTCTCCATGCTCACTTTCAGTAAAGAAATATTAACTATAATTCACCTATTTAAGAATGGGAATGCATGAATGCTCTATTCTAGAAAGTCACGAGAGAAAGAAACATAAATATGTACTTTTAATTGTTAATCAATGGAATTGTGTAAAAAAGCAGCAACCTTATCCTAGCCCAAATGACTGTTGCATCTTTTGTTCAAAAGTTAGAATAACTCTCATTATAGTAACGCAAGCAATACATTATTGTGGCAAGCAGTCGTCTTCTGTGTAAATAAAGGTGATGAAATAAGGTCCAAGTTAGAAAACCAAACAAGTCTGGTTTCTAAATATAATAAATATAATCATAAAACCATTATTTTCAATAGATTATGATCAACTGATAAATAACTAAAGGAGAGAGAGGTGAGATAAAAGATGTAGAAGGAAGTGGAATGTACAGCTTTTTAACTTCTTTACTCATCAGCAAAATGATGGCCTCTCTAAGACACAGGACAGCCTTTACTATGTTAAAACCTATCAAAATAGCTGAACATTACCAAAGGAATGTTCTGTAAGAAAACTGTAGTTCAAAAAAAGTTCACATGAATTGCAAGCTTCTAATATTTGCATAATCTGTTTTTAATATTAATTTAACACATGAATGTTATATTTTTAATAAGATTTTCCTCAACAACAGTAGTTATTGCTACAGACAGTTCTAATGCAGTTACACCTACGTACATACAATTAGTGTCACGTAATATTATGACATTGCAATGCAAAACTTTGAAGACATGTTCCTAGAACTATGTTTGCAAAATAAACTCAGAAAAAAAAAAAAAAAGGAAAATTTCTTCAACTATTTTTTCCTGCACAGGAATAAGAAGTCACTTTATAATGCAAACAAGGATGGTCTGATTCTCAGTGAACATCAGCCAGCACAGCTTCATGGATCAGCTAAGAACAAGCATAAAGTGTTTAATTCAAATAGATATCTAGCAACAAAAGATTTGATACACAGAGATGACACAGAATAAGGGTCTTCCTTGCGAGAAAAGCTGCTCCATTCACAGTCCAAAGAGTCTTACCTTGCTCTGTTTGCTTCTTTTGTCATGTCCCATGCCCAGGTTATGAAGTTCTGACTCAGGTAAGAGACAATAGATTCAGCACAAAGCATTTGTGAGCAGAAGACGTTGGTTAGTACACTTTCATCATGGTGGAGGTAGATAGCAAGAAGCTTTCTCTGAAAAGACACGAGAAAAGATCAGTGAAAATTTCCTCAGGCTATTTAGTGATTTAAAATTACTGCCGCAGATTTGTGTGTTAGTACCCTATGGTGTTTAATCGAAGGTGCTGAGTATCTCAACGTGCACACACAGGAAATACACCCAACAGTAGATTTCAAGTCAAATGGTCCAGTCTTCCAAATCTGTAACAATCTTCTCAATGCTTCCTAATATTTTATTTCAGGTACCAAAACACGATATATTATATGCTTAGAAGATGAAAATAAGAACATTTGAATTAAAACCAAAAACCTTATTAAAAGACCCAAGAAATTAGTAAACTTCATTGGATATCTACCCAATAAAGATAACATTTGGAACAATTCCTTGAGCAAGGAACACATCTCTTGATACAAGAGCATCTATGATACAAAACAATTATAAACAGTCTGAAAAAAATGACAGTGTACTGTTATCACTCCAACTGTAATCAAATAAAGAGGAAAATTAGTAAGTAACAATACAGCTGCCTACAATCCCAAAGCCTGTGACGCTACATGCTGGATGTTTTGGCAGCTCTCCATCCAGCCGTACGATGCGGGGAGGCCCACAGCATATCAGCCTCTCACCTACTTCATAAGTCGATGTGTAGCTGGTTAAAAGGCCACGTGTCAGCCCAGCTGGGTACACCATGCGTGGAACTGAGGAGCAAGGTAGCCACCAGCACTGGGAATGTGTAAGAGCAAGGGAAGGAGTATGGGAGACGTGGATCAAATCCCACACCGAGTTTCTGAGTGCTGATATACCTCATCGTAGTTACCGTGTTAGCGAAGACAAGATGTTGAGGACGGTGTTTGTGGCCTCTTGAAACAAAATATTCTGTGCCGTGTTCTAAAACCCTGTCAAGTAATATTTGAGCTTCGCTGCCCGCAGCGTAGAGCTGTGCTGTGTCCCCATGATAATCTCAATCCACCTCTCGGAAAGTCAGTGTATGTGTACGTAAAGATACAAAGCAGACTGAGGAAAAACATAGGGAAACTATGAGCTAGTTAAGGACTGTGATCCTATGTCTGGTATTCAATGAATTATAAATACCATCCAGAAAACTATGACTTTCCATTCCCCCATACCCATATATATTCCTTACTTTACTTTAAAATCCTACTTGAACATATTTGCTGATACAATACAGTAAATGTTACTTTCAGACTTGTATTTCAATTCATGTCAAGTTTCTTCAGGAGAAGTAACACTGAACACTAGATATTGATGTGTGTTGATATAGCAAGACATGGGATGCAATTTTGAGACAAGCTGTCTTTGTGAAAAACCTGTATGGCTATCACCTCATACGCTGGCTTTGGACAAAACTTAATGACTGTTTATAAAAAGAAGAATACATTTGAACATTAGACTTTGGGAAAGGGATTAGTAATTTGCATTAATGTTTGTCTAATTTAATTTAAATGTTCTTCAGAACCACGTACACATGTGCCAGGAAAGGCCATTAGTAAGCCCAACATGCAGAGATCCATATAAGTGCAGCCAACAATGTTGACTGAAACTAAACTTGAAAATCCAGGGCACTGATGCACAATATCAAGCAATAAAACAGCATTTCTGTGGTGATATTTAATTTAAAAAGAAGAAAGAGGCAGGGGAAGATCAGGCACTGTCTGTTTTTGAGGATCAGCCGTTCTGCATTTCAAAGCGTCGATCCCTGCAATATCCAGGTTACTGTGCTAGAATCTCGACTATTATATAGCAGTTGTAAGAGAGGGAGGGCAAAGATGTGTTTACTCAGTGATTAGGGCCTTAGAATAAGCCTCTAGCTCCTAGAGAGACAGCTCACCACTTATTCATTTGGACCAATTCACAAAGCCTAGAAAGATTAAACATCCATGCTGAGAAGACAAGCGAATGCAGACGGTGAAAAAGAAATAAAAATTCTTTAAAAACTCTGAGATGACTTCATTATTTTTTCCACAAGGAAACTTTAGGAAAGTGTTTAGTTAGAGAAAAACCCACATTGACCTCTCTCTAAACCCTTAATCTTTCCTTTGTGGTGGCACTGCTTTGTGGTAAGCGGATGGCTTTGCTCTCCTCTTTTCACTGGGAGCAGATAGAAAAAAAGGCTCTTGAGAAACACTTTTACTTCCAAAGAAACAACCCCATGAAACTGTTAAATATGAGATTCCATACAACAGAATGTTTCAAAATATGTACAGTTTTAGGCTTAAAGATTCAGGGACAAATTTTAGTAAACAAAACAGGCACTCACACAATAGATGTTTACACTGAGCTGCTTTACAAGTGAATGTAATTTTTGTTGCATCAACAAATCTCACCATGCAAAGACTTAAACTCCATCATATATAAAAGACAGAACTTGTGTTCGATAATTTGTCCAAAATGCTAAGGTCAGTCACAGACATACTGCTAGGACAAATGAAAAGAGTTAGCAGGAGGAACTGAAGTGCTGAAACATGATTTTGAAAAATCTTAGTGGAAGCCAGGGATGTTTTTTCCTTGGAAAAATGCATTATTGCAAAAGGCTCGTGGCTTGAAGGTTTTTGTTCTTCCTGTTGTTGTGTGGGTTTTGGTTGGGTGTTGTGTTTTTTTTTTTTACTAACTTATGGCAGTATATATTTATAAGCAGGTTTCTGTTGTTTTTATTTCAAACCTTTGAAAATTCAGAGTAAATTCTAGAATTCTAGGATGACTAATACTGGGAATTTTTTAGACAATACTAATAAAACAGGCTTACTAAACTGTTCAACAGTCTTAACTTCCATAACAGAAGCCTACTAATGAAGCAGTAGTTTGTTCTGTGTTAGATTTCTCAAAAACGTAATGACTTCGGGGTTATACACTTAGCAGAAAATTTTAACCAAGAAAAAAGATCTGATGGGGAAGAACTTTTGCTAGTCACTATGAAGGTATGGGTTACTGAAAAGGTTCTAAGTACTGAATAGCTTATGGACTTCCAAAGGCCTTAGGAATTCAGGAACTTACACCATGAAGAGATGTATTTTTTCAGAGTATGTGGATGCTGAAGACCAGGCAGCCATATACTGGAATTTTCAGAAGGGGCTTGGATTTACAAATATACTTGAGAGTGCAAGTCTCACCAATGTCAATAAGACTTAAGGTCCTAAAAGCTTGAACTCTAAGCTCCAGATTTCTTTTTTTTTTTTTTTTCAGAGCAAAAAGGGCCATGAGAAAAAGGTGCTAACTGTTTTCCGATTTTTCTTCTGCAATCTCTGTTGCATTCAGACTGCACAAGACTCGGCTGGCCTTGCCCCTGCACCCACGCCGTACACCACTATGTATTTGCAGCGAAGCACTGCGGCATTCTCCTGTCTGATTTTGATCTGTGGATGGAATACGCCTGGCACGTGGCACCCTGGAAGGAAACGCGGGCTGTAGAGGGATGCTGTACTGCAGCAGGGCAGCCCCCTCACCGGTACCGTCCTCCCAGCTGTAGCCTTGCACCATGAAACCTCTCTGCCACATCATCCAAAGTACAGCAGCCTCCTGCACATAAACTGATGCACCTGACCAAGAGACCAACATGCTTGTACACTTCCACGCGTGAAATAAACGCACTAAAGATCTGTCCTACGTACCGAAATGGCTGTGCCATCCACTCAGTCATTTCTGCGTTTTGGAACTTCAGAAAATTTAATGCACTTTGTACAGAATTGGAAGAAATGAAGGAAAAGTTGGCACTGAGGGAGAAAGAAACGCAGATCTTCATGAGGTTGAAAGTCTAAATTGGTAATCACTGAGTAATGGGATAACCAAGCTTCTCAGCCAGTTCCTAATAACATGAAAAACTTAGATACCTCAGAAGAATATGAACTAGAATGAGAACAGTGATACAGTCATAAGGGTCAGCAAAAACACAGAGCTGAATTGTTAATTCTGAATTTCAGGTTTACAAGTTCAAGTCATAAACAAGACAAGAACATTTGCTATGTAACATCTGCTAGATGTTACATATGAACATCTGGATGTTCTTTCAAGCTCGTAGGCTAATGAATCAAGATCTTAATTTTTCCTCTAGGTTTTATGTAGTGAGAGCTAATTCAAATGAATAAAGGGACACACTGGCACATCTTTTAAACCTTTGAAGTGTACAAGCTAAGGTGATCTTGGAGATCATCTGATCAGCCTTCTTGGACACAGCTACTCTACCACGCACAATCCTTTTTTCCCCTAAGCAGAATGCAAACCTTCTCTAACACCAAGGTGATACACCTTTGAATTTACTCCGCTTTGAAAAAAGGATCAAAGTAAGAATGGAGACTCACAGGAAGCCTTGTTTGTGCATTACACATAACAGAACAAAACCTGCTGAAGATAAGCATTATTAAATTCCCCTGCACCAGTCAAAAGAAAGGAGACAGACACCAAAGACAGACAAGAGGTACTAACCAGCCTCTAGCCTTGTAGAACAAGATCTGAACTAAACAGTATCCCATAGGTTCCTAAGGTAGGAGTGAGATGACACCCCTGTAATCTTCTGATCTGTTTTTTTGTATTACACATGGCATAAGGCATCTCTAAACTAATTCCTAATTTTATCTTTCAGTAATTTTATTTTTCAAGTAAAACATCTAGTCTCAACAAACCATCAGTGATGGAGAACCCATATGAACTATGGTAAGCTGTTCAAAAGGCTAACCACTCTCCCAGGTAAAAGTGTCTTTTATTTTAAGTTTGATTTAGTCTACTTTCATCTTCCAACTATTTGATCCTATTATACTGTTGTATCTCTATTTCAATCAATTGAACTTGTAGTAATACCTTACATAATGCAAAGAATAACCAGCAATTAAAACCAAACTCAAACAAGATCTACAAATCATAGACTTATGAACTTAATTCGCTGAAATAAAAAGGGACAGTTTTCTGAGTTACCCAGATAAAAATGATACCACAGAAAACCCTGTATGAAGGACTATTCTGCTACCACCAGGGGAAAAAAAAAAAAAGCTTTTATTTGAACATGCCAAATCATGGACAGAGCATACTTTTTTCTAGGTATTCAGGAAATACAGTAGTCATATGTGAGAGGGATGGTGCTGTCACTAAATTGAACCTAAAAGAAAGAATTCAAAGAGAAAAAAAACATGGTTCATTTTCAGTATGCAGGAATACATATTGAGGTGACAGTACCAATCTGTGCTAAAAGAGATGTTTCACATATTTATTAAAAGTCAGTGGACAGAAAGGTTGAAAGAGGAGCAGGAGGTGATCTGACAGAGGGATAAAAGATAAAAAGACAAAAGCTCCTGTAAAGGTAAAGGAGATATCTTTAGTCTTTCTTATAATAAAAAAGTAACAACCACCTATAAAAGGAAACGGTAAACAAGTTTCAATAAAAGAAAATACTTTAGTATTATTCAAGTAAATAGCTCAGTGAGATTTAATATAGCGATGAAGATCTCGCATTAATAACAATACCGTTCTAAGTTAGGAGAACCCTCCCAGTGTTTCAGAACACAGGGCACCCACAAAATGCTTTCAGTCACAAAGAAACCTACCCCAAACATCTTGTTTAAAACTGTCCATTATAAGATTTCCTCCATGGCATCTGGTTTACGTATTTCTATGATAGTACATCTACTTGAGCAAGAGTAAGCTTGTTTTTCATGAAGTAATATAACAGAGAAATGCTTCTTTCCAATTTGCACAGTAATGAGAGGAAAAATTTCACAGAAGAACAATTTCTTTGTTAATTTAATAAACTTCTGTCTCTCTTTGGCTTCCTGACCCAACTAAAAAAAAAATTACCAATGAAAATATTTTCTTGTGTTGTATACACAAATAAGCCTTGGAAATGAACAGGCAATGCCCTGAACTATCAGGCTGCAGGAGGTAACTGGGGATTTCATTGCCAAGGACACCGGTTGTTGAAGAGAAAGCTCTATCTTGGCTATCGTCTTTTTGTGCTAAAGAGATGTACAGGTTTTAAAGCGGAGCTACATTTGACATCAGTCCATCTCCTACCTAGAACTGGCACTATCGTGGTAGGATTTGCTCTAAAGGAAAAAAGATACCCATCATGTATGTTAATCTTAGCTATCTAAAGACTCGAAAAGCTACAACAATAAAATCTAAACAAAACATAGTAACAGACAAACATCTAAACTTTTTTACAAGGCATTTCGTTTTCAAGTAATGTGTTCTTAAACAACTATTAATTACTATCCTTTCTGACACAGGAAAATGAAAACCACTAAGATTTAACAGAACAACATTTATTTTCTTACAAATAATTTTAACCTATACTGTGTTTAAAAACGCGTGTTCTGACATCAGTTAATATTCTTAAAATAACCCAAACTAAAATATTTCTGACCAAAAGCCTTCAAGTTCACATAGAATGGGATTTTTTTTAAGGAAAAAAGTATCCACAATGTAGATTAAAAATGTAGCTGATGGCTGTCTCACTAGTCCTGAACTGTAGAGTGCACCTTCTGCTCCGGACAGCATTGAGAATTTGTCAAGAAAAGGCTAAGATCTCTGAGTACTCAAGCTGCCAAGTGCTCTCAAATTAAATCAGTTTGAAGCGGTTTTCATTAAGATGGATTGAGTGTGGCATCGTGAGAAACACTCTATCAAATGTAGTGTTTTACTTAGTGATTAAGTATATACCAGTTGATGAAGCTACCCAAATCCTTCGTAATCCCACCACTCCAATAAACATTTAATGAGTATATAAGTTCAAAAAGCCTAGCAGAGGATTTAAACCTTCAATCTTGTTTTTATTTACTCTTGGAACTCAATTTCTCACTTCAAGTGAAGAATGCTGGTGCCTGAAGCTCATCTGTTGCCCTGGTAAAATTAAGTGCCCTCCATGGTATAAATTAGAAGACAAGACATTCAGGTTGCAATTTCTCCTAAGCTTTTTTTCTTATACTGATATATATATTGAATTATTTTATGAAATGCAATTATAAAAATATAAAATAATGTATCTCTTTCCTCAATTATGAATTCCAGGAGGTAGTACTGAAGAAACTTGTTTGTAACAGGAAAAATGCAGTAAAAATAAACAGTATATATACATTCTCATACCTTTGTTTTAAATCAGAATGTTACAATAAAAAAATGTAATTCCACAGAGTAGTTGCGGGGCAGAGCTTTCAAAAACTAAGGCAATATTTGGAGAAAAAAAAAAAAAGCCACAAAAATAATACTTTCCTAAGATATAACTTTATCCTGATAAGGGTCTGCTCCAACTACATTGCAAAAATATTAGAAATGTAAGATGACATGACTTTCAGATATGCTAGTAAGTAGCACATGAAGCACGAGTATTAAAAAACTAATTAACTGTACTACATTAATATCCAATTTACAGGTATAAAAAACTATTTATGAAAGCTCCTAATGGGCTCTTGTCCGTTATTATACTGATACACTGTCAACCATTTCTGATGAAATGACACAAAGTGAACTTTCTAACTCAAACACTTTTCTTGTTAAATTAATAATTTTGTATCTTTTAAACATGCATTAAGTTCCACCTTAATGAGTTATTATGAATTAATATTTTGCCACTGAATTGTTCTGTATCCATTTATGCTCTGAAATCTGCACAAAGGCATTAAAATATTCACTAGAGTGTGAAAAAACTATCTGTGCAGACGACACGTTAAGTTTGTGTTAACTTCTATACAGTGCAGATTCATAACCCCGCACACTTATCACAACAGCCTCTAACACAACATACCTGCTCCTTCCAATACGAAAAACTACAGGAAGCCAAATCATTTTCATTTTAAAATTAAATATCTATCAAGACAACAAAAAGTAAATTTAAACAGCATGATTTTCTTGTTTGTGTTTCAGCTTAATTATGCAGGGGTTTGGATTTCTCCTTAGTGAATTCAAGTCACCAAAACTTAAATAAACTATCCCCATTCTAATTTTATTAAAATACTGATTTTAAAACTGTGCATGGAATAACAGAAACTTGAGATGTCTGGTTGGATGGACAGAAAAAAATTAAATAACCAGACCGTTAGTACTGGAATTTACTTGGCAGATAAAAGCTGTACAAAGAAAAAAAAATGCGCCATATTTCAGAGACCTTTCAATTTAAATTTACAATTTCATTAGCCACCCTTCAAAGGAGTTACCAACATGCAACGTTGAACTTGTCAACCACAAGACTTGCAGCCAGTGTTATCTGGTGCTAGGACACCATTATTTCAGGAAGAAAAGGGAGTGGAATAGAAAAAAAAAAAAAGTGAAAAAAATAGTAGCTCTCACAACTAAAGGATTCCAATAAAAATACAGTCTGAATGATTAGAAAGCATGAGTTGTTCACTGTAATGTCAACAACAGCCAAGGTAAGTGTTTTAGTCAGTCAACTAAATGAATATAACTCTTCACAAACAATAAAATCAAGATAACTCCAAAATGTAGTTTACTTTTTTTTAAAATAAAGATGAAACATTAATAGTAATTTCCATTTCCCTCCTGTATTAAATAAAGTAATTTTAATACACACTTACCTCTCTAGCTTTCACATAGAAAGCTTCTTGAAAAGCAACCTCTAATGATCCAATTAAATAAACAGGATGGCATTCACCATATCTATTTGAGATAAAATTTCCAATTAATAAAAAATTATGAAAATAAGTAATGTCAATATTCTACCTCTTCATATACTCTTCAAATATAATGCATTGGCTAAATCTTCAGAAAGATGAAGTACTACACTTCTAAATACTTCCCTTCTGTCCTTTAAAGCCATCTGTCCCCCAACATTCAAAAGCTCAAAGTAACTAACTGATGTCTCAAAAATTTTATCATAAAAACTTTCTATTTACATACATAGACACCTTAAGTTCTATATAATTTTTCAATCATAACGTATTTCCTCTCTTCAGTATATTCTTAAAGGTTAATTGAAGGCAACTCTTGTATTACACATTAATGCATCTCATATATGTAAATTAACATTTCACCACAGGAGAGTGAAAACAGAAGGTATATAAGCTTTGCATTACTTTGCAATATATTAGTTTGCAGCTTTCACCTATTTGATGAAACATGGCAACTGTTTAACAATGGACAATTTGGTGGTATAAAGTTTTAAAAAAGCAGCATTTCTGTATTTTTAAAAGTAGAGATTTATCCAAGCACTTCATTATTGTGAAAACTCTCTTGCAACCTTGTACATATTTTTCAATATTTATCATTTTCAGCTTTTCTGTTTCTGTATATCATATTAAAATTACATAATCAGTGTCTCTATCCTCCTTCTGGACCCTTATGTAATTTAGTAATGATATTAATTACTGGCAAATTAAATAAGGCAAGAATCTGTCACTCTAACTTGGACTGAGAAATAGTCTTATCTCAGAAACAGTTCAATAAAGTTAAACTAAATTTTACTTAGTTTGTAAGAAGAATTGCACAGTTAATAGGCTAAGCTTACCTTGAAGAAAACTCTGCTGTGAATTGTAATAAGGCATCTGCTTCATTTTCAGCATTTTCTGGCACTTAAAAAAATGAAAAATATAAATTAAATGTAACCTTAAGGAAGCAGATTTTAATATGCAAACTCACTTGTTTTCTAGATTTTTTTATGTTGACAGCTTCCTGAAGTAGTTACCAAGAGACCATACAAATTTCATGAAAGACTATCGACTATGAACCTTTGGAAAGACATGAAATTTCCAGACACTCTCATGAATATATTCAGGCTTTCCAAACAGTAAAATCCTTAGGTCCAGTGTAATGTGATATATCACTTGTTCAGAGTTAACACTCTGGACTTACATTAAAATGAAAGGACTGGCTTGAAAGGCTTGACCCACTATACTGCTAGTTACTTTTTTTTTCCTTCCTTTTTAACTTCCTGTTAAAAAGTTTTCCATATCTTTACATATAATTTCTGTCAAAAATCTTCTAAAGTAATAACATTAATGCAAGCCTAAAGCATATACAGAGAACATAGAATTGCATACAGGAGATAACGGCTCCCACTCAATCCTTTTCATAAGTCAAAGGCAAATAATCACCGAGAAACTTATTTAACGCAAATGACTAAAAATGACTAAAAATATTAATCACCACGAGACGCTGAAGTTAAATCTGTAGAATTTACAAAATAGGGAAGAGGAAATCTAGTTATCTACAGCAACATTTGGTTAGAGATCAGGATTTCTCTGAGTTTATTATTCTTTAACTCTAAGCTAAAAACATAAGGTTAAAAAACTTCCTCCATGGGGAGATGCTTTCATAGTTGCCAACTATGTTTGCTGTATTTTTATTTGGTATATCCATCAGACATGACACTCAAACAATTCAAGCATTCCTATCAAAAGATACTTTCCTGTTTCTTATTATGCAGATCCATCACACCTCTGCCTTCACTACTGCTGTACAAACACCAGTTAATTGTAAATTAACTGTCAACTCTTACTCATTGGCGATTTCCTCAGGGCAGATGATGCTACTCCAAACATTTCTCCATCATCAACTCCAAACTCTGTAGCATCTTCAAAGTCATCTCCATCACTGTCACTAACCATATGAACATCGGTGCATTGCTATTTAAAAAAAAACAAAACACAAAATCCACCATAAGCCTCTATTACAGACATCATTTTCAGTGAAACATGAAATACATACATACTGAAAAATACTTACACATTTCTATAAAAATACTTGATACACTGCATTTTATTTTACTGTTTTATACCGCACTATCAGACTGCTTTTTATAAAGAAGACCTAATTTTTAACAGAAGTCTGGTTGACAGAGTAATATTATGTGACAAAACGCATTATTAAGTAACTATGGAACCCGCTCCGTACACACATAGTTGAGCAAATTTTATCCCAAGTTAATGCAATTTTCTCTCTAACGGTACTACAGCTGGTTTAACTGCATAAGAAAGAGTGAGAAAAGCCACACAATCTATCGGTAACTTTAGACATCCAGATACAATCTATTTTAGCAATACTTGCATGGTGGGGGAAAGGCCTTGGAAAGGCACCTATCTATTGTATTGCAATCTCTGACACACAAATTTAGCACCCGTAATCCTAACTTGAGACACCAGACTACTGCATGCTGAATGACAGGCTGATTTATTTGGCATACCAACATAAAGGAGAAAAATCAACATTTTTGTGCAAGGGGCTAAGGTGCCATCTGTGCCTTCAACTCCCACTGTCGGATCTTTTGGATTTCATATCCTCCAAAACATAAAACAGCTCAGAAAAACTTGGGCTTTAACTATTCTTGCCTCTAAATTGACTTATTTTCTTGAACAACTATTCCAGATCCACTCAATCTAGAAGTAATAGTGACAGTACACTACAGATAGTCTACATGAACCCCTGCAGGTGTAATAAAGTATATTATGGAATGTGAGATTTCAGCTCTAGCATGCAAGTGATCACAAGAGAAGCAAAGAGCTCTAAACATGCTGGATCTCTCCCTACAACAGCTACACATAGAGAACTTCAAATAAGGAATGTTTACTGAATTAACTAGTCAACAAGAAAATTCTACAAGGTGGACAAACTCAGGTAATTTTGAAAGAATGACGTAAAGAAGCAATTATATAGTTCCGCTGGCGTATCCCAGGAGAAAACAATAACCATCTATTTAACCTGCTAAGTGGTTCAGGTATAGCTGGAACAGTGTTGCCTGACCATCCTTTAACTTTTAACAACTGTCCAACAGCATATATCAATGCTGACTGTGGCTTGCTTACTTTGTTTTTCCTCTTTTTCTTCAAAAGTTCCTTACTTTGTAAAGGAATTGTAAATTGATTCTTTTAACATGAAATTCTACTGATGTATTTGAGAACAGAAGGGACAGTGATCATGGCAAAATTAGCCTTCCCAGCTTCTTCCTAGAGTATACTTGTTAAATAAAGATGATGTTCTTACCTCCTCTGACTGTTCCCTCGTTTGTACAGGTGAAGATCTTCTTCCAACTGTAAGTCGATGGCAAGGAAAAGTCAGTCCCGATACAGCTAGAGTCATCTACAAACAAAGCAATGATTGTTTATTAAAGCCATAGCCTTAGCTGAGTGTTGGGGTTTTTTTTAAGGTTGCTTTGAGATCTGAACTGAAGACTGCACTGCAGAAGATCAAATTTAATTTTACAATATGTACAATTTTACAACATAAGAAACAAACCTGGAAAACTAAAATGATTCCTTAAATTAAAATGGTCAAAGAAACAACAACAGAGTTTTAGAGGTATGTATGCATGGAACATCGAAACGATCTAAATGGCATTGCAAACTTAAAACTGTCTTGAATTGTTATTTTCTCCCAAATCAGTACTGTAGTTTGAACTGTTATTTGTACGTGATAACTTTTACAATTGAAAAATGTAAATTTTTCCTTCCTAATCAATAAGCAAATGTTAATGTGAAGATGATAGGTACAAATATCACTGATTTAAAAGTTAAGTCATCTTGAAAAATAATTTAACTGTCTTGAAACATCAGTTTATTGGCAGATGTTCTAAAAGACACAATCACAATGGCTACTTAAAAAATACATTTCACCTCCCATCTTGATCATTATTAATGTCAAAGGCATGTGCCATGTTTCTTACATGAACAAGAACACATACAAACCCAACAGTGCTGGTGAAACTACAGTCAGGACAGACAGGAGAGATGTTCTTTAACTACTGCCAACAGAAACAGCACTTTTGCCTGTTGCTGTATGCCTAACCTCAATTTTTTTAAATTAATGAGACAGCAAATGGAAAAAAGCTATCATCATTTGAAAGACAAAACTATTAGATGCTTGCGGATACGTAGCAATAATATTTGAAGATCTGATCCCACATTGCATTTAAAAATGTACTAATCATACAACTAAAAATGAGAGTTGTCCACTCTTTTTTGATCAGAACCATCTGCGCCATCTCTTCCTGTCAAGCACCGTTTACACATTTCTTTATACAGCGTAAGTGTACACCCGGCCTTCTGCTCTCTTCTGGAAAGCACATCAGTTCTGGTCAAGTGAGGTTGATGACCACAAGTAGAATTTCACAAGGACCTAAGCCCTATCTTGATAACACGTGGGCTAAATTTACGTTGTGAATAGCTCTTAAACCAAGATAGTCAATTCATTTTGGCAATGACCAAATATTTGATGCTGTACAATTCTTAGTGACATGGAGAAAGATAGTTCTGGCTGTATGTTCAAAATATTGTTTCTAATGGTTCCTTCAGAAGAAACACAGAAGACAGAAAAATATTTTCTAAATCCTATAAAAATGATTACTGTTTTTGCAGGGCACAGCATGATACACACACTTTATATATTTTAGAAATACAGCATCCTCCTAATTAGCCTGTAAAAACATTAAGGTAAAATAAATTTCAATCATCCTTAACAAAAACTCAAGAATAAACCATAAGCCTTAAATTCCATTTACTGCCATGAGCACTGAAAATATCCCATTTACTTTTATACATAATTCAGAATGACTTTATCACTTGTCTGCTAGAACTCCCAAAGATTTAATTTGCTGCAGGTTGAAGCAGGCTGATTAAGCAGGCTGGTTACCAAATGAATGTTAACCTGTCTGAACTAGCCTACTGTCACATTCTCATAGCAAGGTTAAACAGAAGTTTAGCTGCATACAAAGCCTAGCGATCGTCTTGATGTCAGTGAGTAATAATACTCGGGAGCAAATGAAATATTAAAGATGACATGCAGGTCAAGACCAATTACCTGCGAAACTCCCATGACAGGGTGTAAGAACTGTATTCTCTGTAATAATCCACCAGTTTAATTAGTACTTTTATAAGCTTTTAATAATAAACAAAAGCACAACTGTTATAAAACCTGAAACTTTGCCCTGTAGTTATCACACTACATAAAACATTGTTAAACCATACGCACATGCCCGCTAACCACAGACAGACTGAAGTTCCCTATCTAACAGCACCAAATACCCGGACAGATGCCTGGAAAGGCTCCCGATATGTTTTACATACATATTAAACAAAGAGTGGTAAGATCAAGCAAGCAGTTATTGTGCTGCTTCATCTCTTGGCCCAATAGCAGGGTGTTGCAATTCCAATTTGCAGCCCTACATTACAGTGTCAAAGCATCTCTCACAAATGAGCTAACAGCAGAAGGGATTGGACATCAGAGACATTTCACCCTACTCCCCAGACAGTCGCTGGAATGTTAGGCTTTTGCCTACTTTTGTGTGAGATATCACCCTCCTCTTTGGCTTTTTTTGAGAAGTTTTTTGCAAAGGAAAGGCTAGGACAAATAGAAGACTCTACCTTTCATTTCAAAATAATCTAGCAGCATTAATGTTTCTCTAGAATTAAGTTATTCTCCTTCTAAGAGAAAGGACAGAGTCCTCTCTCAAGAGAGACTCTTGCACCAGAAAGTTTATTTTCGAAATTACCAAAACATCGACACTAAGCAGAAGATCATTTTGCAGGCAGCTCAGTCTGGTGCCACAGACAGCAAACCTCAACATTTACAAGAATTTTGTACGCAGACCAATTTACTGATGGGAGCACTCGCTGAAGCACCTCAGTGGCAAGAACCGCTCAGATGTCAGGCTGCTCTTGGAGAGTTTTTTCTTTTTAAATACTGCACCTGCTTACTCCCAAACAGGGTTACAGTACAGTAGATATATGAATTGCTCTGTCACAGCTGTCTTCCCATGGGAATGGACATATTTTTTTTACCAATTCCAAACCTGAAAATGCTGGTTGGTAGCCTGAATACCTGATTACCCATATTCTTCACTCATGAACCCATACCTGAAAATGCTGGTTGGTAGCCTGAATACCCGATTACCCAGATTCTTCACTCATGAACCCACCTGACTGGGTAAACACTCAAAAGTCACTAACTTTTCAGAATATTTTCTTTTCCTGCATAAAAATCACTGTTATGTGAGTACTCTAGCTTAAATCAGATGGCTTTTACACGCACAAGAAGGGATACTGAAAGATGCATATGCAGGACTCTTGGCACCAATAATGAGCTAGATATAGATGATGAAATAAATAATACATTAAAGCAAAAATAAATAAGGTTTGTCCATTTTTCTAGGCAGTAAATGTACACATGTGCAAATCCCTACTCAAAACGTCTCAGAGCTGAAAGGTACATGAGGTAGAAAGTGAAACAGAATCAGAAATAGGCAAAACGACTTGCAAAAAGTAACTGAAGATGATTACCAAAAAGCCAGATCTCTTGTCCAACATTGTGTACGGACTGCTTGTGCTTGTTGAAAGTTTAAGTCACCTCCTATTTGGCTTCCTATAGCTTTTTAAGGAGAAAACAATCTTGCCACTGAGTTGCCTGTATTTAAGTCAGAACATACTTTAGAAAATAAATTATGGTAAGAGAACAGGCAGGCCCTTGAAGCGCATGATTTACAGACTCCACCATTAGGCCTGTTATTATCCTCTCAGAGCTTATCATTGCAAAGTATGGCCTTTCCAGAGGGATGAGATGGAGAACGACCTGCTGAATTGCTGCCAAGAGAGTCAATGATCTTTAGTAGAACAGCTTCCATGTCAGCTAGCTCCAGAACAAATCAAACTGTCATCAACAGCAGGAAAACTTCCCCAGGAAACCCAGAGTTTCACAAGAGCAGTAGGCGAGACAAGTCTGCAAAACATGGCACCTTCCAGAAGGTGAGAGCCGCAGATATGTAACGGATTGACTTTGTCATGACTTGAGAGGCTGCACTGTTCACAGGATACTTGTCATCAAGGGATCCCTTTTTTCTAAAAGGATGCAGCTCTCTTAACAAGAGCCATTAACAAGACGCAAGTTTAAGTGATAATGTTTAAGGAAAGTAGGAATATTGATTTATTTTGTGCTCTTTGTTAAGTTTTTGATTGCTACAAGAGTAGTGAGTGTTGAGTTTTTGAAGTGTGTGGGAGTTCTGCTTGTTTGGTTTGCTTTAATGTACATTAATACATCTATCTAAATGTACCAGTACTTACCACTGTTCTTGTTAACCAGGGCAAGTTATTAAATGTAGCCTTTCAGCTGTAGCACCTGGTAGTTGTCAGTTTCAAAAAACGGCTTTTGATTGTTTAAAAGACCATTTAAATGAGAAATAACTTCATTCACAGTAACAGAGTAACTACCTATTGTTTGAACTACTCAAACGAAGAATCCTATCCAACTCACTACAGTGTTATTTTTCCATGGCAAAATCTTTTCTTTTCTATTTTTTTTTTTACATAAACTAGAGATTCTTGACCATTTGCTCTCAGAAATTCAAATGTCAAATACGAACTTTACAAAGCATCAGAAAAAAATTCACAGAACACTTGATCTATATGCAAAAGAGAGGAGTCTATGCTAGATTTTACTTCCTCATGCACAGCAAATGAAGCAACAGGCATTATCTGACAGTGGCAAACCTAAACCAGAACAAAAAACCTTGCAGCAGACATACCTGCTGGATCTTTAATATAAAGTAAAAAGATCATGAAAAGAAATGTAATTTCTGTATTACTTGACCACTATGAATCAGTTGAGTTATTCAATTAGCTGTACTTCTAATACAGAATTATGTTTGTCTGTATATAATCTGCTTCAATAGAAAACTAAATGGGGGAATTCTCATAGTGTGATTTCCTCCTAAGGTAAAGGAAGATAATCCATGTTTTCTGCCTTTAATACTCAGAGATAAGGTAAGCAAACAAACTTCTGGTGTAAAAAAAAAAAAGGCATGTTTTCCGATACTTGACTCTCCTTCATAAATCTCCCATAAAAAGCAGACTAATTCCCAGTCCTACTCAAGGTCAGCTTGTAGAACATTAGGCAAAAGGAAGTCTTAATAACCTGCCCTCCACTTTTAGCATCCTGAAAAATAGGTAAAATTATAGTAGCACAGCTGGATGGAAAAAGCCACAGAAAGGAACCTTCCCAAAGATGTCACTCCTTGTGTAATTGCCAAGGAGGTACGTGCTTTCTAACGCATCCTTTCAGACTCTGCATTGATGAACAGGCAGCATTAAAAC